GTAAAGGGAGTGCGCCTGCTCCCCCCTTGCCATGCTGAAATGAACTGTTCTGCACCCAGAATCATGGGGTCTCTTTCACGGCAGAGGAGAAACAAAGTACAAAACCTGGGTGCAGCCTGGAGCTTCCTTCACTTAGCACAGGGAAGCCTTTGAAAGAAGTGAGGAAAGATCACAGATCTGCTTGGACAGAAGAAGTGACCAGCAGATGTCTTTTTTTTCTTTTTTTTCTTTTTTATTTTCCCTTGTCCTACTCTATGGTTATCAGAAATATTGTAATTAAGCAACAGGTATAATTTCAAAAGTTTTTTTTGTGTGTGGCGCCACAAGCAAAATGAGTTTATAATTGTGCAATATACAGATATATATATATATATATATATATATATATATATATATATATAAATTCAACTGCTTTGTGTCTAGTTGGTACATAAAATAAAAATAGAAAAACTAAAAGCAAAACTGAAGAGCAAATCAAAAGCCCAGAATAGAAGAGACAAAGCAGACCTATGCATATAGTCTATAAATTACTGGATATAATCAGGGTCACCAGGAAGAACAGCTTTGCCACTTGACACACAAACAATGCAGGGAGAGGGACTATCAGTGGGCAGGAGCCAAACCTCTTTGCCTTTTCACTGCATTTTCTCTTTGTGCTAAACAGGACCTGATAAAAGATGAGAGGAAGAGCAAGGAACAAAGGTCATTTTCAAGTTGCCCAAATGTTCTTAAACTCAAAGATGATACTTAGTTCCATGAGTGGCTGAGTCCTGCTTGTGCAAAGCCTGAGGGCCTGTCCTTCCTCCTAGAGCCTTTGCATTGCCTGCCTGCCTTTCTTGTCCTCCCTTCTCCACTCTATGGGCTCTCATGCCTCCCTAGTGGGAGACTGACTTAAAGAGGCAGGGAGAGGCACTGGGGTAAGTTTAGGAGGGCATGCCAAAGTACTTGCCACACAGCCATTTCATCTATGCCAAGATCCTGAGGGAGGGGTAGGCAGAGTACAAGAGACAGTAGGTCCCAGGGAGGGATGCTCTGTAGGCAACACACCCTCCCTAGTTTATGCAGTAGTGCTAGGGTAGGCTCAGTGAAGATGAGAAGAGAGAAGACACTTTGTGATGGGCCTTCTGGGTCATTGACAAGTGTTCCACTTGATACACCAAGAGCTGGTTTCATGAAGTTTTGGCATCTGGTAGGCCAGTAAACTTCATACCAGCAAAGGACAAGGTCAGAAGTGGCATCCTGGCGTCAGCTACCCAAAGAGGTTTTCTAATAATAATAATGTCTCGAATCTCAACAGTCTGCCAGTTTGACCTCCACAGATGTAGGAGTTCCCTTTGCTCAGATCACTCACCAGAACTAAGTACTTTTGAATCAACATTTTTTTTTGCAAATGCCTCCTCTTATTCAGAACCATCAAAATGTATTATTGGTTTTTTTTTTTGCCAAATGTTTTCAAGGTTTTCCTACTAAATAGTTGAGAACTAGTTTCAGTGTTCAACTTTTCCCCTTTAGCATACTGGGGGAGGCAGTATCCTAGCGATTTGTAACAATTAGACTAAGCTTTTTCTAAAGATTAATATAGTACCTAAAATAGAAGGACATCAAAATGGAGAGAATCAACAACTCTCTTCAGAGTTTGGCTGGTTCACTGAAGCAGAGAACAGGAAGGAAGAGCCAGAAGAGGATGTGAATGAAGCAGAGGGCACTTGGTCCAGCATAGGGCATTGCTGCGTCTGCCTAGCCCCCTTCAACTTGGGACTTTGCTATGCCATGGTCCACAGGGGCTCTAGAAACTTTTTTTCCAAGTCTCAGCCATCTGTCCTAGAATCTGTAGTGTGAACCTGAATCAGCAAACAATGGGGCAAAGATATAGGCCATGAACTGATGCACAAATGTTTTCTTTTAGAACTGGCACCTGTGACCACTCCTTAGCCTGGAGAGCCAGGCTAGACTGCTCTTTGTGGTTAGAGAAATGCTATAGAGCTCAGGCAGCTGGACTCCACTTGAGTGGCATGAAATCTGGCTGGTCTCATCTGATCAGTTCCAAGCCTTTTGCTTGTTCCTGGCTGTGCTTGAGCCACTTATTACAACTTACTTAAAATTCAAAAGTCCTATTAGCTCTAGAAACTCTTTCCCCACCAAACTTGGCAGTAAGTCTCTGGTTATTGCCCTTTTATCACTGTCGTAGCAAGAACAAGCTGGGGGAAGCAGCAGCAATTTGGGCCGCTCTGGTTCCCACTTCCAAAGTTTGTGGCTTCTAGCCTGTTGGGATAGCACTAAACAGAGTTCTCTGTACCCATGCTGGGATCACAGGCTACATTGGCACTGATGGACTGGGGGAAGTGGTACTTTTAGATCTCCCCGGTGCCTTTTGATATGGAAATACAGCACCAGCAGAAGGCAGCTGTACTAGAGGCTGGCTGTGACCAAGAGTTCTCAACTCACTACACTGTCAGGGGCATCAGTTCCACTGGTTAAGTCAGACTCAAGAATGGGCAGGAATGGGCCAGGACGAACATAGTTGGAGGATATGCAACAATCTATTTGGGAGAGGTAGTAGTAACTAACAACAAGAACATGGTAGGGAAGATTGGATATGACTTTCAAGATCTAGCCCCAGGTACCTGAAAGCTGTTGGTCAGTTCCTGTATTCTTTACATATCCAGTGAAAATGCCACCCAATCTTTATAATATTCAAATACATCAAAAGCAAGGCCATACTCCAGGTCTGAGCCAGACACAGCTGGTGAGAAACCTATGGCTTTCCCTTTCTACCTCCTGTTAACCTGACTGCAAGGCAAAAGCAGCATGAGTGCCTATATAGAGTCCTTAGCTGACAGGGCAACCCCCCCCCCCAAAAAAAATTGCCCACTTAAAGTAGACTGACTCATGATGCCCTTATTTGGGGATGAGGGAATGGGGAAAAAAAAGCAGAAAGCCAAAAAAACCCTCAAAAAACAAAAAAAAAAACAAAACCAAAAACCCCAACAACAAAAACAAACAAACAAAAAACCCTAAGGAGCTGCAGGCACCACCACCTGCAGTTTTGAAACCAGCTCTAAGGGAAAGCTGGGGAGTGAGGAGGCTGAAGATGGGGATCAAATTAAAGAAAATGGCACCCAAAGTGCTGCAATCCCAACTGCGAATGTCTAATCAGCCTACTTTGTCTTCCAAGGATGAGGGATCCCCAACCTAAGAGTCACATTTCATTGGACTAAGTAAGTATAACATCAAAACCCCAAGCAAACCACAATAAACAATTTGATGTCAACCTGGCTAGATGCTGTGAGGGTATGGAAAGGTGTCCTTGGGGAGTGTGAGGCCACTGCAGGGGTGGGGTGTGGTGGGGGCCCGCAGGGGCCTTTTGTCCTTGGAGGAAGCCTGGACCCTTGAGAGTCCCTCTTCTGACCCCTCTCTTCCATTCCTGGGGAGGAATCAGAACCAATGCTGAGGATCAACAGCAGAACAGGCAAAATGATTGCCTGACGGGGAAGTTGGTTGCAAGGTTTGCATTTGTAGCACAAGGAAAGGGATACAGATATGCAAGAAAGCCCAACTATGACTGCAATCAGAATGGGGCAAAATCTCTCACTTAGTTCTAACCATTCCAGAAGAGACAAACATGGTTTTATCTTAAGCTATCAATTAGAACTGTCAACTATGGTTCCTGATCGCTAAAGACTGGCAAGGAAGTGCTAGATGATTTCTATGATGTTTCACTCTTCCATGATTACACCACAGTAAAGAAGCTGGGGAACAGTAACAAAAATACACAAGACAACACACACTTGACAGTTCATGGCAGAAGCTCACATGGGACGTGCCTGTGGGTGTTTCTGGAAGCATAAGACTGCTGTCTCATTTGCTACTTTGATAAGGTACTTCTCAGTTGGACAGATTTAGATACGAGATATCTCTGTAAACACAGAAAAGGATATACCAATATGATGAAGATATGCAGCTAGATAAGGACTTCCTGAACAGAGGTTAAAACTTTGGGATCCCAAATAAAAACTGATCAATTAAAATCCCACAGCAAAGCCAAGCCTATAAAATCCACCGTTACACTTACAGAGCAGAGATTGAAATATGGGGTGTGCTGGCTCCACCCAGTCCCCAGTGAGCAAAAGGGAAAGAATTCTACTAGAAAAAGACTTGGCAGGTGTTTATGTCAGAAGAGCAAGGAGCCCTGGTGTCACTCCCAGCTCAAGTCCTGACAGGTGCCTTACCACATTATGCTTGACATTAGACTTCTGGGTGGGTTCAAGGATAGTGGGCACGGTGCTCCTGTTGGGCCACTCAGTGATTCTGGCAGAACACAGGGGGCCTCTATATCTCTTTCAGCTACCACATGTGGCCCAGTTTCTCTAGCCCACTTTTCTAGAGCAGAAGGTAAAAAGGCTCATTGTTTAGGGTCTGAAAAGCCTTTTGACATTTTTCTTAGCAAGGAAGAAGCTACCTAGGGGAGCAAGAGCTTACTGACCTCTTGTTCTTCAGAGGTTAGGAAGGACTCAGCAGAGCCCAGCACTTGCTCAGGGTTAAACATGATAGCTGGCACTGGCAATGAGAAGTCAAAGGGCAGGGAGAATCCTAGGGCTGTGGTTGACTGCTGTCAGGTAAGCATGTGGTTGGGCACTAAAGTTGCCTGGAACAGAAGAGACAATTAGGAGCTAGGGGAAGGAGGATGAGTAAAAAACGAAAGCATGAAATGGAAGGAAAGCAGAAATGGAAGGACAAAAGAGAAAGCAATCAGGAAGTCCTTATAAAATTGCAGCAAACACTTAGAGTTTCGGAGCTTCGTGGGAACCCTATGCGCTGAGCCCACTTTAAAACAAGCGCAGGTATATACAGATCCATCCAGGTAGTTCTGAACACTGCCAAGTCTGGTGCCTTGTGGGACAAAGTGTCACCATTTCAAGCCAGTTTGTTTTCAGAGCATCTGTTTGTTTTGAAGTGGGAACATGAAGACTCAATAGTGCAAATAATTCTAAGATGTCCCTAAAGGAAAACTGTAAAGTAATTGGAAGAATATTTTTCTTTCTTCCCCCATACCCCTTGTTCCATCCACAAGTCCTTAACTATGTCATAGGCTGCTCTTATTCTGTGGCACTAGGCCTGGCTTGACCCCCACCCAGCCTGCCTGTGCCCTGTCCTGCTGGCCTCCATGGCACCTCTTTAACATTCTCTAGGAGAGCATGCCTTATGAACAGGTGATGACATTTCACCCTGTGTCATCCTCTTCTGTGGCTCAGGCAGTCTACAATCTAGCAGTTCAGAACTCGCTCCTAGCCATGCCAGAGCAGGATCAGACAGGTGCCACTTTCCTATTCTTCAAAATAACCTTGTCAGTTTTGGATTGGGGTGGGTGTGGGGCCAGACTTGTGCCACCACAGTTCTAATCATTGGGCCACAATCACTGACCACCTCCAGTCTTCTCTAAAAAATCCAATGGTTTTTCCTGCCTCATACCTCCCAGTCCCTCAGATTGGGAGCTGGGATGGTGGAAGAGTCAGGGAAGCTATGGACAGGGCATCAATGGCACCAAAAATGGGCACCAAAAATGGGAGTGTCCTCTCAACTGCTGTCTCTAATGAGCACACTGGGGGGAGGGTGTTGGAGGTGCCTGGTCAACAGCTTGTCTGGTCAGTAGTATCTGCAGCAAGCCTTGTTGAAGGAGCCTAGTTTAGAAAAGTGCAAAGCTACTTCTGGCCCTGGTTAGGTCTTCAACCTGACTGTGCTTGTTGGTAAGAAAAACATCCCAATGCTCCAACTACTCCCACCCTGAAGCCACGAAACTCTAAGTTTACTGAAAGAAAAAAAAATATTTTTTATTTCAGTTAATCGGGAAGCTTTGTCAGAGCCCTACCCATAAGGAGAAGAGACAACAGCTGCCTTTATTCTTGTTGGTTTGCTTTGCAATCCACTCTGTGTAAAGTCAGCTAACTCTCTCGGTCACGGGCGTCCGGCTGTCCACAGGTTCCTCTCTGTTTGGCCTTGGCATGGAGGATGAAACAATGTCTTTGCGCTCTCCCTCCCCTCGGTGTTTGTACTTTTCTGCAACTGTGGCGGTGGTCGACCCCACCATGGGCTGAGTCTTGGCTGGCTCCTTGGGGCAGCCATCGCTCTCCAGCGAGCCTCCTCAGGGCATCTTCTCCTCTTTGCAGATGCTGCTACTCAAGTCCTGGGGCTCATGGGGGCTCATGGGGTCCTCAGAGCTCTCAGGCTCAGGTGGGGGTGGGGGTGGGGGTGGGAGCAGTGGCATGGGCGCCTTTGGGGACTCTGAATGGTGGTGGTGATGATGGTGCTCCTTCTTAGGGGGTGAGGAGGCACTGCTGCTGCTGCTGCGCCCCTTGGGGCTGCTCTCCTTGCTTTTTCGCCCAGGGCTCTTGCAGGTCTTCAGTCCCTTCCCACTCTTCTCACCAAGGGTGGACACCAATAGGGGCTTCACCACTTCCTTGACTTCAATGCTGACTGTCTCCCGGGTCTTGCGCTTCTTGATCGGGAGCACGGACTCATGCACAGACCGTATGGAAGACTCCTTCACGGTTTTCTTTTTGGCCTCTGCAACAGCAGCTGCCACCACACTCCCAGGCTTTCTGCCACGTTTCTTAGGAATGGCCTGAGGGTCAGCTTCAGCTTTTCGCTTTCTGCCAGGGCGTTTGATCACCATGACCTGGGCAGAAGTGGTAGCCCCGCCTCCCTCACCCTTTCCTCCAGGCGATGCTTGGAAAGGCATCTTGACAAGAAGTTTCCCAGGGCTCTTTTCCAGGACCCTTTTCATCTGAACACCTTCTGATGCTGCTGCCTTGGGTCTCCCAGTGCCGCTCCCTTTGGGGTGTCCCCGACCCCTGCCAGTTCCTGGAGCTTTGGGAGATTTGGGCTTCTTAGGTGGTTTCTGCTCTCTCCGGGAGGGGCTCCCTCTTCCAGTAACCGTGAAGTCAAAATCATTAGGGTCCAAGGAGGTGTCGCCTACCTTCTCAAAGTAAGCAATCAATTCCACTTTAGAGCGAAAAGCTTTTCCCTGGGGACTGTGGAGACAAATGGAGAGACACAAACAATAACATTTTTTTATGACAACTTAAGAGACTGAGGTAGAGAAGATGGTATTGACAAGCTTTCTTATAAGACATTGTAAGTGAACAAGAGTCAAACTGAAGAACTGAGATGACCTAAAACTGGAGGGCACACTTAGGTCAGATGCAATGCACTGCTGCATGGGTAGAAATCATGTTATCAGGAGTAGTGGGTACCTATATAGCTTGTTAAAGAGCAAGAACAGCTGGACCTAAAAGCCTCAGAGGACCTGTCTACCTCTTAAGTCCACTCCTCTGTATGCCCTGGCTTCTCCACAATCCAAAAACCAAAGGAATCAGGCCTGGTACTAGGGGAATATTGGGCTGGACTGATTCTGTTGGTTGGTACCCAGACCTAATCTACCATCATAACATTCCTGCATCTGAACTGAGGTATGGAGTCTAGCCTCTTTGGAAACCCATTTCAGTGCAATAAAGCTTTCCTCACCTTTCTTAGAGTTGAAGATTAAATAAAGCTACCCCCAAATACTGGGGAAATTTTTAGCCTTTCTGGAATCATTTATTTAAGGGGTAGAACTGATATACTTCTTAGTTGCTCCTTTAAACCTCTGGCTCTGGAAGTTACTTTACTTTAACAGAAAACACTATGAGGTTAGTCTAAAACTGGATAAATGCAAAAGGAACAGTTGGAAAGGCACACAGAATCAGTTTGTGTCCCTTTCTAGAGGCCCTGCTAAACAGCAAACCTTTCCCAACACTGATTTAGAGGCAAACAGAAAAAACTTGGTATGTGGCATAGGTAAAGGACGAACTACTCTGAAGCAGGGAAACAGGGTAGGGACCTCTGTAGTGCTTTCTGAATGTATCTGGTATTGATGTTAGTTTTTAAGTGTCCTACAAGTAGCTACAGAGCTGTAGTTTCAATGGATCCTTATATCTAGCCCTCCCACCCATCCGGCTTTTCCTGATCCATAGACACAGGACTTGCTCTTACTTACTTGATCAAATATACATCATACTTTCCAGCAGAGCGGCCAGACTTCCTCTGCTTAAGCTTTCGTGTCCAACCTTCAGGCAAGGTGGGGTCATCATACATAGGTCCTCGGTCACGAATGATGGAACGCCGCTGTTTGGGGGAAGCAGAGGCTTCTGGCACTGCTGGGGCAGAGCCTGAGCTTTCTGATGTCTCTGCTTTGCCTGCCTCTGCTGGCTCGGCAGAATGGTGGGCTGAAGGCTGTAGCGGCTCATGTTTGCCCTCTTTGTCTTCTTTCTTGTCTTTCTTCACCTTCTTAAATTTCAGGGGCTTGTCTTTGAGTCCCTGGAGATCCTGGTCTTCTGACTTTTCCTCCCTGAAGTATTAAACAAATATGTAAGTATCACAGAGAACACAGTTGCATGCAGAGTAGTGAGTACAGGCAAGTTTGGGCACCATACATGAGATCCCCGGCTACTGGATACTCAGCTCTTGGTAACTCCCCTAGGATAATGTATCCTTGGGTCAACCTGAGGCCCAAAGTTTTTTTTTTTTAGAGGTTTTGGGTTTCTGGTGATGTTGGTCAAATGCACTTGACTTTTATCATACTATTCCAAACCCTAGTTCTGGTGCTGTGAAAGGGGCATATATTTTTCTCTTGAGTTTAAGCACCGTAGGGTTGGCTTCTCAACATATTACTAGCGGACATCAGTTTATAAGTTACACCTGTGGGCCCCCTGGGCTTGCCCACATGACAAAAGGCTCTCCACTGCTGGAAAAGGAACTGCCTACCATGACCTGTTTTAGGATTTCAAACCCCCTGAAAAGTGTTATACAGCAGTCAGAAAAAGAACATATGAAATTGGAATTGGTCAACCTGAGCTCCAATTCTGACTTTGTCATTTTCTTTTATTTCTTTTATCTATTTTGTCTGCATGTATGACTGTGTACCACATGAGAGCCTAATGCCTGTGGAGGCCGGAAGAGGGAATTGGGTTCCTTGAGACTAAAGTTACAAATGGTTGTGATCCAGTATGTGGGTTCTGGGAATTGAATCCAGGTCCTTGGGAAGAGCAGCAGTGTTAACTTCTGAGCCATTGCTCCAGCTTTATGACTTTGCCATTCTCAAAATAAGGACCCCAATAAGTGATTTCAGTAGTGTAGGCTGCGGTTTCCTCATCTCAATGGTAGTTAATCTCATCTGAGAGGCATCCTTTCTGTGAGAATTATGGACAAAAAGGTCCCAAAGCACTGTATAACTATTGCTAATTCAGGCAAACAGCAACTGCTGCCTAGGGTTCCAGTATAAAAAAAAGGGATCCTGGGTCATATGGGTCTTTACCACAATATATTCCTTACCAAAAACAAGCAAACAAACAATCACCTTATTCTCAGAGGAATAGAGAAAGGTATAATTATAGAACAATTGCCATATTCCAGGACAGGACACCTGCCCATTTTTACTTGTGGACAGAGGTAGCTCCTTCTACAGGTTTTGTTTTTTCTTCGTGGGGTCCCCTCCTGTACACAGTGAGTACCCCCATGACTACAGAATTTGGTCACATTGCACTGCTTGCACCTCTAAGATACAGGCTAGACTAAGGAAGATTTGGAAAGAAGTAGCATCTGCCTATTGGTCTAAGAGTAGAAGAACTGGAAAGTAAGCCCATGAGGCTGTGAGGTGCATCTAGAAGCATTGTGGTCTGCTCACAGTTCAACTTTCAGGCCTGGCTTATAAGGAAGCTCTCAGTGACAGAGGAAAGGAGGGGTATTTACTAGCACAGCTGGCAAGAAAAAGGCCAAAGAGGTATAGAGAAGGTACTTATCACTTGCAAAGGGCTTTTGAATACCAGGGCTGCTTCCCTGATTCTGAACAGTACTTGAGTTTGAGAAAATCACTATACTAAGAAGACAAGTTGGTTTCTTCGGAACTATCACTTGTATTCTGAAATATGTTGACCACCACACGGTCAAACGTAAGTCACATGAGCAAAGGAACACCTTCTAAAAATCTACCCAGGGAGATACCTCTGGAAATGCCTAACAAGACAGGTATGACAATTTTCACTAAAACTTTATTTTCACTAGCTAAGACTGCAGGCCTTTCCAATCCGTGTCACCAAGGAGACTTGGTGAATAAACTATGGGATGCTTATATAATGCAAGGCTATGTAGCTAGGGAAGGATGAGTTTCTGATCTTTTTTGAAGTATAAAAACAAATTGCAAGTATGTTTACGTTATGCATTTGGTGTGCAGAATTGCAGGCTAGTCTAGGATAGGTAAGAACAAGATAAGAGCCCCTGCTGAACACTTCTTGGGATATAACTGTAAATGTTAACATTACTAAAAATAAAACAAAAATATGCTATTATAATGCATCTAAACAGGAACAAAGGAGCCTAAGTATATTACCAAACATAATGTATTATAAAAAAAAAGACTTCAACTTCTGACCATAGTGTTCCTGTAGTGGGATATATTCCAAAGCCAACAATAATGTTCCAGGGGTAGTATAGACATTAGACAAACTCAAAGGTGAAATGGGTGACTCTGGTTCTGGGGCATCCTGTGGTGCCAGTAAAGCTGGGGATGGGAGTACAAAAACAGAGCATGGGTAAGTAAAAAAAAAGTTTTAGCAATAGCCTAGGCATGGGCAAGGATGTAGGCAGTAAAGGATTTGGAATCTGTTTAGGGGAGAATCAACAAAGCTCAATGGTAACAGGGCAGAACTAAATTAAGATTTGTGTCAAAGTCTGGGCAGGCAGCAGTTCCAGTGACTGAGAAGGAAGTCTGGGTGAGGAACATGTACTTAACAGCATTTTTTTTTGCAGCTACTAGCTACAAATGCGGGAAGCCCCAGTGGGATTTTATCAACCACTGTGATGCCTTTTCCCAGAAGGAAAAGTAACCCATGATACCTCCCCCTGTATTAACAGCAGCTCTGGGCTTGTTCTTTCTTGCCTCTTCATTTGGAGATCTTTCATCCTGTAGGTTAAACTGACACTTCTCAGGGGCCTTCCCTACTTCTGTCCCTCCCTTCCCCTGTGTCCTGGAAGTAGAGCATACCACCTCTACTCTCCATGAACATAAAATATACCATTGTACACACCAATTCTTGTCTCAGTGCTTGACACTTAAGAAACACATGCCATGTTAATAGTCAGGAGGCTGACAGAATGCTACATCTGCTTCTTTTGATATCTATATCTCTCTAACCAGATTAGTTAGTAATTAGTTGGTAATTAGTTAGTAAACTAACCAGCTAGGTTAGTGCTGAAAGTAGGTAGGCTTTGAGTAAATGAACAAATGGGGAGCTTAAGAGCTAGCAGTAGTGTGTTGTACATCAGTGGGTTGGAATTGGCAGGAGATGACGTTGGAGAGATCCTTGAAGGTCCGAGAGTCACAAGGCAGTAATTATAAAAGATGATTACAACAGTAGGACTGCTGAGTTTCCAGTAAATGTGGGACACAACCCTCCTGTTGAAACACCTAAAAATGTTGAACCAAACAAATATCTTAGCAAAGACATCACAGACTGTCTTAAACATACCTACAAAGAAGGAAGGAATACACAGACTAAAGAATAAGAAGACTGAGAAGACAGAGCATCTGAATGCAAAACTAAACCCTGGATTGGACTAGTTTTAAAGGCACTAAAAAAAGGCATTAACGGGACATTCAGGGAAATGTGAATAAGGCTCTACATTAGCTCATTTCTAAACTTCCGAAGTGTTGTAACTATGCCTGTCTACTCTTAGGAAAGCCAGGCTTAAGTATTTATAACTGAACATCATAACAACTTCCAACTCTCAAAGGGGAAATGATTCAGGGGTTGAAGGGATATGTATAGTGTCAATGTGATAATATATTTCAAAAGGGGAAATGACATCAATATCATCAGAAACTCTACTGGTTTATGGCAATTAAAAAATTTGGGGGGGGGGCGGGGACAGAGTCTCTCTATTATGTAGCTCTGGGGTTCCTGGAAGTCACTATATAGACCAGGCTGACCAGAGATCCCCTTGGCTCTGCCTCCCAAGTGCTGGGATTAAAGTGTATATCACCAGACTCAGCCTGATGCCATTTTTTAATGGTTATGCTAGGCAGTACTCTACCACTGAGCCATTTCCCCATCTCCAAGAGTAGTATTTTGAAGCAAGCTTCTTTACAAAGAGAATGCCTTTGTATTACACAAAGACAGAGAAACAACTGAAATTAGAAAGCAGAGGCAGGAAGATCACTGCAAGTTCTAGATCAGGCTGCATATTCCATACATGGTGAGCTAGGCTAGCAAGCACCACATTATCCATACGCCGTTTTTTATTTTTCAGAGACAGGGTCTTACTATGTAGCTCTGGCTGTTCTGGAACTCAATACTGTAGACCACGCTGGCCTTCAACTCACACAGCTCCACCTACCTCTGCCTCCCAAGTTCTAGTATTAAAGGTGCACAAAGCTTGTTTTTTCTTTTTAAAGCAAAACAAAAAGAAACACCTAGAAACATTGTTGAAGCACTTTCTTTTAGTAGCTCAAACAGCAACAACACCACACTGTATATGGTGAAGCTGCCACATGGGAATGAATTGATGTAAAGCTATAGTCTTCATGTTTAAGAAAAAAAGCAATGTCAAAGGTGGCCAAATCTAGGCTCCCAGAAACTTGCTTGCCCAGGAGTTAATAACATCCAGGACCTTCTGAAGCAGCCCAAGAAAGCAAGCAGACTGGTTATGGTGAGAAGGGATGACTGCAGTGTGCTACAGTACTATAGTAACCAAACCTCCTCCCTCCAGACAGGGTCTCATGAAGTCCAAGCTGGCCTGGAACTCTTTTTTTTGTTTTTGTTTTTTTTTTGGTTTTTTTCGAGACAGGGTTTCTCTGTGGTTTTGGAGCCTGTCCTGGAACTAGCTCTTGTAGACCAGGCTGGTCTCGAACTCACAGAGATCCGCCTGCCTCTGCCTCCCGAGTGCTGGGATTAAAGGCGTGCGCCACCACCGCCCGGCTGGCCTGGAACTCTTGATCACCTAATTGCTGGGATTATAGGTGCATGCCACATTCAGCTTTGTAACTAGAGTGAATTTGCTTGCTTATTTATAATTATTTATTTGTTTTTTGAGACAAGATTTCTCTGTTTAGTCCTAGGTGTCCTGGAATCCACTCAGTAGACCAGGCTGGCATTGAACTCACAGAGATCCACCTACCTCTGCCTCCTGAAGTGCTGGGGCTAAAGGCCTGGCTAGAGTTTTTTTTTTTAATGCTTATACGTGCTGGTGTATGTGTGTGCAAATGAATGTGGAGGCTAGAAGATAATCTTGAGTGTCATCATCAAGAATGTCACTCATCTCATTTGAAGCAGGATCTCTTACTGGCCTTGTACT